AAATACGTCACCAATTCGACAAAAAATCGAATTACGCTTTACTTGTCATTAAAGATTTAATATTTTTTTTGCACATCTAAAGAATATATATTCAAATATCACATATTAACCCATCAAAATAAAAATTAATTAAAAACACTTATCATTTATTGAACAGGATGTAATAATCTCACATTTAAGGTACTTTCAGAAGTTTGTAGTGTGAATATGGCCGGACTTTTCCTTTAAAGCTTGCATTAATCTGTTTTGGGGATGAGGGGGGCTAATATTAAAGTCTTTCATGGGGCCCCACATTCCTGGCAGTGCCCCTGACTGCAGCCATAAATCTGCAGCAGATAATCAGATAGAGCTGCGAGCTTTGGAGGCAGATCGGTTGGTTTCATATTACTTCTGCTCCCTGAGGATCTTTTCCAATCATTACTTGTCAGGAACCAACACTCAGCGTGATCAAACCATCAGCCAAACCATCACTGGAACAGGTTTAATGTGATGTTTGGGTTTCTCCCAAAGCTATTATTGTGGCTCAGATTCAGCGCAGAGAGAACAGCAGTTCTTTGAAGAAATGGATCTGGTGGTTTCTTCTATTTCTTCACAGCTTTCTAATGAAATCCTCCCACTGTCTAAATACTGGCTGATGATGTCATCAGGCTGGCGGTGAAACTAGATAAAAACATGAAAGAGCAGCAGAGGAACATGAGAACCAGTCGCCCTCAGTAAAAAAGAAGCGAATGATCTGCAGCCGCCTGGTTTTATAGATGCTGGTGGTTTTAGGTTTTAATCATTCGTTTCTATCAGATTTCATTGGGTGAAAATACTGAAGCAGGTCATGCTTTATTAATCCAGCTGTTTGACCGACATGCAGGGTTTGGGTCGTTAGGATGACTGTTAACTTTCACTTCATGCCGTCGTGGTGAGTTTCCACTCACCCACACATGTTTAAAAGCTTCTGATTAGTTTGTAGAAATATGGAGTATTAGTTCCTGAGTCATACTGGTGTCATTGAGTCAAATGATGAGTCAAAGCAGGAAAATTCAATCAAGAAGCTCAGAACTTAAAAGCAGCAAAATCCAGGAGGAACACAGAGGAACCAGCAGCTTAACCCCGTAAGCCCAGAGGGTCTTAAGAGCATAAATCTGAAAATAATAATAATAATAATTTTGAAACATGTTTTAGAAATTATAAAGCCCCATTTGAGGCGTACGGATGAAACACCATGTGACTGTTTTGGCCATTTCTATAAATAGATAAACATGAGTAGGTGTCAGTTGGGTTAATGGGAGGATAGGGCATAGAAATGTTAGAACTGGTGAAGGACATGAGGGGGGGGGCGCTCATCAGCTTTCTAGATGTAGAAAACATACAATAGAGACGAAGCTGGCGTCGTTTTCATAGGACTTTTCACCTCATAATAATCCACATTTTACTGAACTTGTATATTAAAATTTATGTTAAATTTCTTATTTCATTTGATAATTTGTTGACGTGTTTGAATGCAAGAAGTTTGTCCTTTAGTATTCAGCCACAATTATTTTACCTGACTCCAGCTTCAAATGTTCACAGGCTACAATAAAGTAAGGATGGGGACACGGCATCAGTATGTTTGGTAAACTTATTAAAATGTTGAAAGTGTTGGAGGCCAGAGCTGAGAGGAAAGATCTAATGATCACGGCTTTGACAGCTGCCTAATTCACCTGCCTAACTCTGCCAGGTTACCAATTATCACTCATCTTATCCACCTGCTGCTTTATAAACGGCTCGGGCCCAGCTATCGGGGCCAGATCATTGTTGATGTTCTGAGTCTGACTTTGAGTTCGTAGCTCATGTTTTGTTCGAGTTCTTGTTATTGGAGGCCAGTGGTGAGAGAGTTTCTATTGTTGTTGTAGTCTTCCTGATCATGTCCGGTCTGTTATTCGCTTAGTGTGTCCTGTTCTTAGCTAAGTGGAGGGAGCTAGTTTTAAAGGACAGTAGTTTTCCTGTTATCCTGCCTTGCTCTGCCTCTCAACTACTGAGCTTGCCTTTTCCCATCTGAACGTTTCTGCCTGACCTCTCTGTGGACTCCTGGAATCCAGGACCAGCCTGTTCCTGCTCTGATTGGAACACCTGACCGGCCTACAGACTCCTGTACCTCTGAGCCTTTCGGCTCTGAACTGTTTCCCTGACGTGCCTCGGATCCCTGCTTGTTCACTCTGGGCGGCGCTGCCGCATCTCGTTGGCAGTCAATGGACTGGATCCTACCTAAGGAGATGGACTGAATTGTTAAACCAGATTTGCCAGCGATGGACGGTACCCCACCTCCCCTGCAGCCGCTGCAGAGCTCTGTTCAGTCAATAAAACGCCTTTTAAGGAATCACAGTTCATCACAAAGGGAGTGCAGAACGAAAAAACACACAACAGTTAAAGAGAAATACTGGATAAAAAAATACAAATCTAAGCAAAACCCCCCAAAAATAGCATCAAGAGTTCAAAAAGAAAATCGTGAAAGTTGGGTTATGCTTGACATAAAGACGACTTCCTCTAGGGGGCAGCGTAGGGTAGAGACCAATCAAGGTAGATTTTTCATCTCATCCAACAGTGACCGATCTTAGTGATACTTCTGATCATCGACGTCTCTGGAGGTTTTTTAACCTTCTCCGTAGGAGGCGTTGCTCGTCCACCATGTTTTTCAGCGTAGAGATTTCAGCGTAGTTACAAATAGGTACATGTTGTGACCCACTGAGCAAAAATTGGTTGAAAAGATGACATGATTTATGTTTAAACTATGTACATTTGGTTGAAAAGTAAAAGGTGAAAAGCGTCAGATCGCTGAAAAGACGCTGAAAACAGGGTTTGTAACGTCTTTTATCAGATCAGACCGAACAATCACAGCCCAGTTTTCATCAACTATGTCTAGACTAAACCCAGACTATGACGGACCGATCAGATTAAGCCTAAGCAGCAACATCTAAACGACGTCTGGTGTTTGGGAGTAAAATCAACATGGGTGTAAAAATTCCGTCATTTGGTGGCATGGACCTCACCGACATGTCAAGCATAAACCCGTCTAGATGACCCAAAAAACCCATCAGATGGGGACAGTCTGACCACCAGAGAAAACTAGGAATGGGTACCAGGAAGCCTGCTCTGATCCCTGCATGGGAAAGTTCCCACTGAGGGAAATAGATCAGGATGTCTGTCGGTCTAAAGTCTCTCTGCTCAGGACCTTTCAGATGATCAGTCCAGGAAGGACGACGCCTCTCAGACAGCTGGGATACTCTACGGACATTCCTGCTCCAAACTAAAGGAAGCAGATTTCCAGTTAAAGACCTCAGAAGGATCATGGGAGATGATCTTTTCTTCTCTGTTTTTCACTCACCGTCTGGAAATGATCTTCCTCTCAAAATGTTTGGAGTCAATGTCTTCGCCGCCCACTCCTGTCTGCAGGAAACCACACCACTCACCTCGTTTAAACTGGATTAGACCAGTTTTTATAAATCTTTCTCATTCAGATGCTTTATAATCCGTCTTATAAATGTTAGTGTTTGTCGCCCTGCGGCCAGGGGCGGATTTAGGAAATGCGGGGCCCTAGGCAAAGACAGGCAGGGGCCCCTCTGAATGGAGAACACATAGAGCAGCCCCATTCTCCAGATGTAGAAATGTTAATAGAATAGACATCCATTATCTGTTCTAGGTTGTGTCCCTCTCTTCTTGTCCCTTTTCTTCTTGTTTTCCTCTCTATGTTTTGTACTCAGCTGACTTTTCATGCTGTCTCTAAAGGAATGAAAGATTTTTTCCAAGCACTAAGCTCACTTAGCTGATTGCTCCTTCCTGTGTTTCCAAAAAGGCCAAAGTAAATAACCCAGTCCTTCTTTTCACTGTAGACAAGCCATGATCTGCTTATCTGTTCTCCATTTTTCATTTGGATGAAATAATAGCTGCATGAATCATGACAGCAGACAAGATAGAGGAGAGCAGGAGGCGGGGTTACCAATCTACTGGCTCTGGAGAGCAGAGTTCGCTGCTTTTAGATGTTGTCTCCAAAGTCTCCAGTAGCAGAAAAAAGTCTCTAGATTTGGCGCTAGGAGCTTTTTAGAAATCAAAGTGCTAGAGGGGTCTGAAAAGTGGCTAAATATAGCGACTAAAGCGCTAAGTTGGCAACACTGCTCTTTGCATGGTTTGTTTTCAAATGGTTTGCTGCTGTCTGTTTGGACCTTTCTGAACATGTGCAGCAAATGGACTGATCCAATATGGTGGACACTGAAGGGGGGGGCTGAGACACACTGAATATTATCAGCGTTCTGATGGCATTTTAGCAAAAACATAATTAATGTGCACAAATAAGGAATAGTTGTATTAACCATACATGGAACCAGTTGCCTGGGGCCCCCAGGAACTTGGGGCCCCAGGCAACTGCCAGAATTGCCTAATGGTAAATCCCCCCTGGCCCTGAGAAATACCTGGTGAGCAGGGTGAGCAAATGTTTTCACTTTGGCTTCACTTTGTGTTTCATGTTACTGAGGGATTCTAACTCCCGCTATGTTAGTGAAATCTAATCAGAGACAGCTGTTCAGTTTCTGGCCTCAGAGGTGAGTTAGAGAAGATTAGAAGGACAGTTACTATCATGAAGGCCAAGGAACAGAGCAGAAAGCTCAGGGAGAATGTTCTGGAGATGTTTAAAGCAAGGTGGAGTTTTGGAATAACTTCCGAGATTTTGAAATTTTCCAGAACTCCAATTCATCCATCAACTGAACATGGAGAGAGGATGGAGCACCTGCAGACCTACCAAGACATGGATGCCCACCTAAAGAAGAGATCGTTAATGAGGGCAGAAGGAAACCAGAGCTCAGGTCAGAGAAGCTGTGCAGGAGAACTGTTTGCTCTTTATGAGAAAAAGTCCATGAAGTCTCAGAAGGAGGAAAGAAGCAGAAGGACGATACTTTTGCTCATTGTTCCTTTAGCATCGGGACCTCTGTCTCTACCTGATCTCCACCGTCAGCTCATCCACCCGATCTTCATCAGGTCACCATCAATAATGGGATTAAAGTGAGTAAAGAGCTTATTTCTTAAGATAAGAAGACAAATGACAAGACATCCAATGAGTCCCACTAACTCAGCCGGTAGCTTTAGGAGAGAGACGACCGAAGTGGATCCTCTATAGAACAGGAAGGTAGCAGCAGCACGGCTAATGTTCCCCCTATGATGGTTTTACAGAGGAACCACAGGACAGATGAAGCTACTATGATGAGAGAAAGCAGATAAAGTTAGAGATTGAACTAACAGATTCTGCAGAGTGGGAGAATAGAGATAGAATGAAGCAGAATGATGAAAAAGGGGTCCCTATGTCCTCCAGCAGTCTAAGCCTATAGCAGCAGAACTATAGAGATAGATCAGGATAACCTGAGCCACTCTAACTAGAAGCTTTATCAAAAAGGAAAGTTTTAAGCCTAGCCTTAAAAGTAGACAGGGTGTCTGCCTCACGGACTAAAACTGGTAGTTGGTTCCACAGGAGAGGAGCCTGATAACTAAAAGATCTGCCTCCCATTCTACTTTTAGAAATTCTAGGAACCACTAGTAAACCTGCAGATTGAGAGCGAAGTGCTCTGTTAGGAACATAAGGAACAATCAGATCTCTGATATAAGATGGAGCTTGGCCATTTAAGGCTTTATATGTGAGAAGGAGGATTTTAAATTCTATTCTGGATTTAACAGGAAGCCAATGAAGAGAAGCCAGGATAGGAGAGATATGATCTCTCTTTTTCATTTTCATCAGAACTCTGGCTGCAGCATTTTGGATCAGCTGAAGGCTTTTAACTACAGTTTGTGGACTTCCTGATAGTAAAGAATTACAATAGTCCAGCCTTGAAGTAACAAATGCATGGACTAGTTTCTCAGCATCACCCCTGGACAGGAGATTGCTCATTTTTGCAATATTCCTCAGATGAAAGAAGGAAATTCTAGAAACCTCTTTGATCTGGGATTTAAATGACAGGTCCTGATCAAAAATAACACCAAGATTTTTTATTTTATTATCTGAAATCAGTTTAATCCCATCCAAATGAAGTGACTGGCTAATCAGTTTCTTTTTCAGAGACTCTGGTCCAAAGACTATAACTTCTGTTTTGTCTGCATTCAGAAGCAGAAAGTTAAGAGTCATCCAGGTTTTTATGTCTTCAGACATGCCTGTAATCTATGTAATGGGTTAGCTTCATCTGGATTATAGACAGATATAGCTGGGTATCATCAGCATAACAGTGGAAATTAATCCCATGCTGTCTAATGATTCTACCATAGATGGAACAAGGTAAACCAAAGATGCTCTTTTATGCCACATGTAACTAGAAACCCAGAGGTTGAGTGTGTGTGGCGGCGGGGGGGTTGTTTCTGGGAGCCAATCAGCAGTCCTGTAACTATAAACTTGGTTTGGTTTTTGCTGACATCACACTGATTGGAGTTTACTCACAGGGAGCGAGTCACAGACAGACGCGGCAGAGTGAGACAGTTTGCTTGTGACTGGGAAGCAAAGCATCTGGACGTCCAGGAGAAATGACTCTTCAGGCTACAAGGTACCAGATATTAATGCTTTAAATCCAGCATCAGGTTCACTTCTCCAGATAGAAATACATCTGCTGATGTGTGAAAAAAATGTTATGTACATAGTTGTGTAAAATATGTAGGTAGGAGAAGATGAAACAGTTTATCTGCTCAGATATAAGCTCAGTGTCTGCTTCTATTTTCTTTTAGAGCTTCTATGTTATTTGAGTTCAGCGTTCATCTGCCGGCGTAAATTCTCTGCAACCAGCGTTAAATATTCAAACTCTGCTGATAGTTACACATATAAAATGATTAATAATGCAAACTTGTACTTTTCTGAAATGTCCAACAATAATTTTCTTTTTGTCGGTAAAGTTTTAAACTCAAACAGCTGAAAGAGAATCAGGGAAATATGAAAATCAGACGGAAATGTTTGGCTAAGAGCTGAGGCTGCTGCTCATTACTGTAAATGACAATTAGTCCACTGCATGAGTCAGAATCAGGTAAATCAATTACACACGGCTGTAACGCGCTCGCACTAATCAGGTTAATGAGCCCAGCGGTGCATACAGCAGGCAGAGAGTCTGTCCTGAGTCAATGTCCTGAGTCAAAGCCGTGGTTTTTCCACAGTGGGCAGAGGCCGTCCCTGAGAGGCACCTCCACCCTATAATCCAAAAATGTTTAGAAAGCTGTGGGATTATGTCAGCATATTCAGCCTAAAGCAGGGCCACTGCATGAGCCACTCAGGTTTAAAATATCTACATCTCCCTGGTTTCAATTCAATTCAGTTTATTTCTATAGCTCCAATTCACATCATGTCATCTCAGGTCACTTTCCAGTTCAACCAGATCATCCAGTCAGATTGATTCAAAGTTTTCTATCTAAGGAAAACCAGCTGATTGCATCGACTCATTGACTCTTCAGCAATCCCTCACACTAAGCATGCTTGTAGCGACAGTGGAGAGGAAAAACTCCCTTTGAACAGGAAGAATGAAGCTACTATGAGAAAAAGCAGAGAGAGCAGAACGTTAGACATTGAATTCTCCTCCCAAGGATCGGGCCATTAGTTAAATTAAGTGTTTATAAGCACTTTTATTTAATCAACAGTAGATGGAGGTAAGATCATTTCTTAGAGTCTTGAGCAGTCAAACTGTGACAGAAATAAAAGAGTTAAAATTATTATATTTTTCTCATTCTCAGTGAGCTCCATTGCAGCCACAGCTTCCCTGGGGCACGCTGACAGAAAAAATACTGCAGTATAGAGATACCTCAGGACCTATCAGCATTCTATGATACCTTTGTCTAGATATATATATACATATATATACTGGCTTCATTCAGGTATCATAATAAAGAGGTTTGTTTTTTGCTAATATTACACTAAAGTTCACTAAAGTTCTGAGGTGATATTTGAACAGTCTTGGTTTTATTAGAACAGTATCTGGTTATGTTGATTTTCACCACCGACCTTCATCGTCTTCTTAGGCGTCAAGTGACTAATGCCATCTTTCTGAGCTGTTGATCTTTGTTCTCCGCAGCGTCCCTGACTTCAGCACCACAGCATTTTATGCAGACCAGAATCAGACCAATGATACGAGCTGTCCTGAGCCAGAGGCCTGGGGGTGGATCGTGCTCCACGTGCCGGCGTACATTCTGACCATCAGCGTACTGGGAATGATCTTCAACCTCTTTGTTCTGCTGGTGTTCTGCCTCCACAAGAAGCCCTGCACCGTGGCTGAGATCTACCTGAGCAGCCTGGTTGCTGCAGATCTGGTTCTGGTGTCCTGTCTGCCTTTCTGGGCCATCAACATTTCCAACAACTACGACTGGCCTTTTGGACGGTTTATGTGTAAAACTGTCAATGTGGGCATCAAAATAAACATCTACTGCAGCATCTACTTCCTGGTTCTGGTGGGCATGGATCGGTACGTAGCACTGGTTCATGCTATGTCACACGGAAGAATGCGACGTCCCAAATACGCCAAACTGGGCTGCCTGCTGACGTGGGGGTTTGGCCTGGTGATGAGCATCCCAGAGTTGCTGTTTAGGGAGGTCAGATATTTCACTGAGTACGACATCCACGCCTGCTACCTGGACTACCCCAAATTCACTCTGCAGATATTCTACGAAGTGATGCAATCCATCCTCATCTTCATCGTTCCTACTGCAGTCCTTCTGTTCTGCACCGTGAGGATTATCCGCGCTCTGAGCCAACAGTCGATAGAAAGGTTCAACGCTGAGAGGACGGAGAAGAAGGCCACCATCCTGGTGCTGGTGGTGCTCCTGGCCTTCCTGGTATGCTGGGTGCCCTTCCACATCGTCACCATCTTCAGCATCCTGGTGGACACAGAAGTTCTTGAGGAATGTAGCATCACCTCCGCCGTGGACATCTGCCACCAGATCTTCACCTACTTAGGCTTCTTCAACAGCGTCCTCAACCCTGTGCTGTACGTCATCGTCGGGAAGAACTTCAGGAAAAAAGTCCGGGAACTCATGAAACAGTGGGGCGTCAAGAGAACGATGACGTCCGAGTCCACGCGCTCCAACTTATCGTCCACTCTCAAGACGTTGGTCTGAAACATCTGCCAAGCAGCAGAGTTATGAAGGACAGCTATAGAGATGGAAACCAGGTCGTCTGCGTGTGTGTCGCAGTTAACGCAGATATGCCCCGCCCCCCACAGACACTCTGCTGCACCTCTCCAATATTGTAGCTGAGCGCAGACAGGAAGCCTCTGATTGGTCAATTCTACATCCGCTCTAACTGCGTATTTCCTGTTTGGTTCCTAATGGCAGAAACTTCAGCTGTAGCGCCGTCCATAACGCCTGGCTCACCTCGGACTCTATCCCAGACACCGTGCAGGGCGCTAGTTTGTAGCTCTGAGCGACGGTCTGTTGGTTTGCACCCGAAGCCAAAACACGCAGCGCCACGGCCGGTCTTTGGGGAACACTCACGGGTGAACTGTGAGTCGTCCGGCGTTGGATGAGGGGTTGTAGACGACGAACAAGCTCGCCAAACCGACACACGGACGCCCACAATCCTAGCTAGTTCCTGATTGGCCCTCTAGCTTTGTGGCGTGGAATAAAATAGCGCAGACCGCCCTTCAATATTTAGCATAAATCAAAAATATCTGCGTCATTCCTGCGACACACTGCTGCTGGAGGATAACCAGCCCTTAATGCCTTTAGCTTCACTGGAAAAAATATCTCATTAACCTTCTCAAATTAAGGGTAAATATACTTCATTTAAGACATTTTTTCCTTATTTCTATTATAAATTCTGTTATTCTGTTATAAACTAGAAGCTTTGCTATGCTGCAGTTATTTACTGGCAAACAAACATGTCAATGTTGTGATATTTGTGTCATGTGAGTAGTTTCTGTGAAATAATGTCTGTAAATATCATTTCAACTTAAGTTAATAGTTACTAAGAAGAAATAAAAGACATAAAATGTTTTCCAGACTGACGACGAAGTAAATAAAAAACCTCATAATCTAAAGCAGATGGAAATCGGCTCTGTGTTTGAAAGACTGAGGTTGCTCCACAAAGCAACTCTCCAGAGCCACAACAACTGCTTGCTCAGACGTCCCGGCGTCTCTGACTCACCCTGTCTGCAGTTACAACAGCTTTTCCAGCAGTTTGTGGTCAGTGCAAACGTCTTCCTCGTTTACTTTTCTGTCGCTGCAGCCGCCTACCAGCGCTGGGTGAGCTTAATGTGGGCTGTGGGCGAGGGTACACCCAGTCAGGGTGCCAAACAGGAAGGCGAGCAGGGATGAAAATAGAGGAGAAAATCACAACAGTGATGCAGAAACAATATGTGCAGTCTGACATGTTTCCATGTTTTTTATCCAGTTCTTTCAGTAAACGCTGCAGTTTAAGGGCCACATTTAAATCTTTCTATCCTCAATCTAAACATCCTCTGATAATTCAACCTGGAGTCCGTCCTGCTCGGGACGGAGCTGGTTCGTTCCTGATCTCCTCGTCACCTGGAAACTCCAGCCGCCGTAGAGAAGAGACAGGAAGCTGTTGCTTACAGAAGTGAAGGAAAACCATCCTGGATCCTCATCCTTCTACATTTCACAAGCAGAGAATCTGACTGGGAAACATCTGGAGGCTCAACACCAGCAAACTGAAAAAAACATGTTATTCTGCTTTTCTAAACACTCTGTGGGTCTGTATCTGTGAAGGCAGAGGTAAACTAAACAGCTGGAACCTCCAAGGTAAATAAAACCAAATATCAAACAAAATACCAGATTTAGCTCCACCTCACAGGGATGGGAAGAAAATAAAACCCAACAAACCCTCAGATCCTTGGAAAGTTACACCTGCAGGACTGATCATCCATCCATCCATCCATCATCCATCCATCCATCCATCCATCCATCCATCATCCATCCATCCATCCATCCATCATCCATCCATCCATCCATCCATCATCCATCCATCCATCCATCCATCATCCATCATCCATCCATCCATCCATCCATCCATCCATCCATCCATCCATCATCCATCCATCCATCCATCCATCCATCCATCCATCCATCCATCCATCCATCCATCCATCCATCCATCATCATCCATCCATCCATCCATCCATCATCCATCATCCATCCATCCATCCATCCATCATCATCCATCATCCATCCATCCATCCATCCATCCATCCATCCATCCATCATCCATCCATCCATCCATCCATCCATCCATCCATCCATCCATCCATCCATCATCCATCCATCCATCCATCATCCATCCATCCATCATCCATCCATCCATCCATCCATCCATCATCCATCCATCCATCCATCCATCCATCATCCATCCATCCATCCATCCATCCATCCATCCATCCATCCATCCATCATCCATCCATCCATCCATCCATCCATCCATCCATCCATCCATCCATCATCCATCCATCCATCCATCCATCATCCATCATCCATCCATCCATCATCCATCCATCATCCATCATCCATCCATCCATCCATCATCCATCATCCATCATCCATCATCCATCATCCATCATCCATCCATCCATCATCCATCCATCCATCATCCATCCATCCATCATCCATCCATCCATCATCCATCATCCATCATCCATCATCCATCCATCCATCCATCCATCCATCATCCATCCATCATCCATCCATCCATCCATCCATCCATCATCCATCATCCATCCATCCATCCATCCATCCATCATCCATCCATCCATCATCCATCCATCCATCCATCCATCCATCATCCATCATCCATCCATCCATCCATCCATCCATCCATCCATCCATCCATCCATCCATCCATCCATCCATCCATCATCCATCCATCCATCATCCATCATCCATCCATCATCCATCCATCCATCCATCCATCCATCCATCATCCATCCATCCATCCATCCATCATCCATCATCCATCCATCCATCCATCCATCCATCCATCATCCATCCATCCATCCATCCATCCATCATCCATCCATCCATCCATCCATCCATCCATCCATCATCCATCCATCCATCCATCCATCCATCCATCATCCATCATCCATCCATCCATCCATCCATCCATCCATCCATCATCCATCCATCCATCCATCCATCCATCCATCCATCCATCCTTCCATCCATCATCCATCCATCCATCATCCATCCATCCATCCATCCATCATCCATCCATCCATCATCCATCATCCATCCATCATCCATCCATCATCCATCCATCCATCCATCCATCCATCCATCCTTCCATCCATCCATCCTTCCATCCATCATCCATCCATCCATCATCCATCCATCCATCCATCCATCATCCATCCATCCATCATCCATCATCCATCCATCATCCATCCATCCATCCATCCATCCATCCATCCATCATCCATCCATCCATCATCCATCCATCCATCCATCCATCCATCATCCATCCATCCATCATCCATCCATCCATCCATCCATCCATCCATCCATCCATCCATCCATCATCCATCCATCCATCCATCATCCATCCATCCATCCATCATCCATCCATCCATCCATCCATCCATCCATCCATCCATCCATCCATCCATCCATCATCCATCCATCCATCCATCCATCCATCCATCATCCATCATCCATCATCCATCCATCCATCCATCCATCCATCCATCCATCCATCCATCCATCATCCATCCATCCATCCATCCATCCATCATCCATCCATCCATCCATCCATCCATCCATCATCCATCCATCCATCATCCATCCATCCATCCATCCATCCATCCATCCATCCATCCATCATCCATCCATCCATCCATCATCCATCCATCCATCCATCATCCATCCATCCATCCATCCATCCATCCATCCATCCATCATCCATCATCCATCCATCCATCCATCCATCCATCCATCCATCCATCCATCATCCATCCATCCATCATCCATCCATCCAAAGTTCAGGGATCCAGGAGTTCTCCACACGATCAGAGGTTCCGACCTAAACAGGAAGCAGAGGGATCCAGGCTTCCAGGAATCCTCAGAGCGTGAAGGCAGGTTCGAGTCCTGCACGTCGAGCAACAAGCTCAGACAGAAATGAACAGAAACAGAGAGGCAGAATCCAGCAGGAGTCCAAAGGAGGTTGAGGCAAACAGATCAGACGGGGACAGACAGGGCCAGTGGATGAGAGGGAATCGAATCAGAAGATCAGAATCACAAAGGAAACGCTGAAACGCTCTCACTACTGGTTATGGAATAAACTGGCCTGAAGACACTGGCTCCAGAATAATCTGCTCACTGAAACGGGGACATGAACTGTGGACTAACTAAAACTTATGAAAACCCAACCTAAAGACATCTAACAGGGAACAAACAGACAGCAAACAATCAATGATCTGGCCCAGATAGCTGGAAATGAGCCCAATATAAAGTAGCAGATGCAGGTGGATGAGATCAGAGATAATTAGAGACCAGGCAGAGTTAGGCAGGAACAATTAGGGCCAGCTATCCGGGCAGATCATCCTTTATGGTCACTTTCCACTATTGGTCTCTTTTCACATGATGCTACTTTCAGATCCTAATTAAACCAGATCAGCATCTAGACAGACATGGCACTTATTCTAGCAGAAAAGAAAAGAAAAGCCACAAACGTCCTGAGGGTGTGAGAGTAATATTCTGTTTCTGGGTGCAGGTAGACTTTATGACTTAGATAAGGCAGACTGTGTCTGTTGCCAGGCCTCCCCTGGATAACAGCAGCTCACTCAGATAGATAAAACATCATTATCCTCTTGGTGGTTTATATGTTCTCACTTAATTCCAGCTGTGAGTCCGTAAGCGACGCAGGCATGTGAGCTTTTATCGGTAGGACTTGGCAGAGAGCAGAGACCTCACAGCTGTTAGTGTTTCCTAATCTCCACATATCTGGCCTTTACACACGTTGAATAAACAGTAATATAGAGCAAAACCCACAATTATCAAAGAATAATGAATCTGACAAAAGTAATAATACATTAAAAAAATCTACAATAATCAACAAATCAAAGTAAGACGTTATTTTTCAACCAGGCTTCATAATAATTAAAATAAACTCTTAAGCCGGCCTGGATTAAAATGTATGGTTCCCTTAAGTTTATATTTATTTCCTTTTCTTCAAAATCAATCATGCTGATCTATCATTCTGTTTCTAATCTGCTGAGTCACCTCTTTCCTCTGTTTCCTGTGATCCGTGCTGAGTGTGGTACACACTGTGCTCAGAAGATTTAGATTTTCTTATTTCAGATATTAATTTACTCACTATAAAAGTTTTCACTCAGCCTCTTTCACCTGCAGGGCCACAAAGGCCTGAGTGAGGATGTTAGTAGAGCAGTCATAGACTTCTTCCCATAACAAACCAGATTCTTTATCAAAGTTTATTCATAACATGTTACTGTTGAACCAAAGAGTCTGTAATTAGTTTTGACTCATTATTGTAAGTAAGGAGGAACGAACGCTGCCCAGATCAGAACAGGGCTGATTGCCGTTCAATAAGCGCCGTATGATGAACTGTTCTCTCTTTGCAAAGATAAGAAGAAGTGCAGACCGAGTGAAATCTATCGTTTAACTGGAGTAAATAGTTGAATACTTTTTTCCCAGTGCAAAAGTGAACCTAATTTATTGCAGACCAGATCGGCTTAGAACAGAGAAATTATGCTGAGATGGCCTCAAGTCCTGAACAAGGTCATCTCCTGCTTCTTATACCTCATGAGTCTATGTGTTATATCAGGTGGACGCTTCGCTGTGCGTGTCAGGAACGGACGCGGCATCAAACCCCTGACCTCCTTCCCTGCAGTGTCTATGCCTCAGGATTACAGACATGCTGTTCTTTATCAATCTTTCCTCTGGGATGTTCCATCATGTTGTGCTTATTGTCCGGAAAGAAGGACCGTCCTAATTAGATAGCCTCTGTAATCACACAGCGTTACACTATGTGAAGGAAGACTATCTACTCCATCTACTCTGTGGGCGCAGTGGG